TAGTAACCTTTTTTCGCTTTTGCAAAGCTCTGTCTGCTCTGATTTCTTTTTCTCGTGGAAAATTACAACAGTTTTTTTTTATTTTCTAACAATCAAATATACCTTTAATAGGAATGCTCTATAACAGAGCTCTCTTAAATTATCTCTTTTTCGGACTGATGTGCTAGCACACACTCTTAAGCTGCCAGTACATGTTAATTTCATTTCTTCCCAGAAAACAGTGGAAGACCAAATTTTTTTTTTTTTTTTTTTTTTTGTAAAATTTAAAAAAAAATATTAATTATTTTTCCTGAGAACTCATGGTTCCCCCGGTTGTGTTTTATAAACCCAACATCCATTTATGCATTCAAAATATTTATCAATTCTTATAATTATTTGTACAACCCATCAAAATGCAAATGTTATTGAACTTTTGTTTGTTATATTCTGTTCGTATTAAAAAAACGTATTTAAATTAATTTTTATGATATTTACTTCCCAGTCGGTTTCTTTTCGTTTGTGTTTTTTTAATCTGTAGCCATGCCACCATCCCTACCATCAAACAACAGATTCCCAAATTGTTTGTTTTCTTGAAAAAAAGAAAGAAAACAAACGCTAAAAAACATAACATCTATTAAAGAACCGCAATGCGTGTTTTTCAATCTGTCTTATTATTATTATTTTTTAGGAGAAACACAAACAAAAACAATGAAAAGAAATAAAAAAAGATTATTTTGGCTTAGCGCAAAACTGAAAAATTTGCATATTCATTATTTAACTTTTTTCTCTTATTCAATTTTTTTTAAATATGTTTTTGGTTTTGTTTTCAATTTTTTTCCTTTACTTGCCAGTAAGGAGTCCCACATCCTTAGGTTAAACTTGAATTGGAGAATGCAAACGCCTCCCCACAAAACAAAAGCCTTTGCACACACACGCACCCACACTTCAATGGCTATGTGAATGGATTTCTTTTCCCCATAAATATGCATGACTTAGAAGAGAGAGAGAGAGAGAGTCCCTATCTGCTGTGCTTGTGTGAGTCCGTTGTTTTTGATAATGATAAAAACAAATATATGGAGATTTTAAGAGAGCAAAAAGAGAAGATGGTTGGCCATCGTCAAATTGTTTTAGAGAGAAATATTTGATTGTTTGAAATAAAAGCAAAAAAAATGAAAACGGTGAAAATGGAAATGTCACAACAAGTATTCTTGAATTGCTAAGGGAATTTTAGGGGCTTTGTCAATGTTGAATGGAAAGCTGTCACTTTTTCGTATTGTCTTTCAGTGGTAAAGTAGGGAAAGTAAAAAAGTGACACGGCAGGCAAAGATTTCATTCTGAGAGTTTGAGTTTATGATTGTGAGCAAGAGGAGATAGAGAAAGAAGAGTTTGGGTGGATTTGCACTTGTGAGGTTCGCCATAAAAACCAAAACGCCATATATGACAAGTAAAAAAACTGTAAATCCGAACTTTGAATACCCTCAACCATATGGAACGAATTTGGCAATTCTCAATAACAATAAAATCGGTTAAAAATTCTGTTAAAATCTTAAAAATACCGAATGTAGCTATTATATTAGGGTCTATACGACGACATGTACCTGCATAGGTAACTTTTGTCATAAGCCATTACAATATTCAAATGCGAAATTAAAAAAAAATCCGTGAATAATGTAGCTAAAATCATCAAAATACCGAATATCGGGATGCACCGTTATATGGGGGCTATACGAAGACGTGGACCTGCACAGACAATTTTCTGTTTTAGGCTGTAGTATCCATTACTAACTTCAAATACCAAATTTGAAACAATATAAATAAATACAACCTTTCCAAGCCTGTTCCCCCATTCCGCCAACAAAAAATCCAACCACTCATCATTTCCAAGGCCATTAAAATCGATTAATTTTCTATTTATTTGTGTACATTCACCTTCCTGTCATAATTTTGCCCATTCGATGATATGGCATTCAGGCACATCCTCCAACCAACCAACCATTCATTCATCGAGCTACCGGTGGTACCGGGGTATTCATTTCAATTAAAATAATTAATTTCGTTTTCGTTTCTTCAGTTCAGTTATTTAGTGGCCAACCAGCTGGATGGCCCACTGACTGGCTGGCTGACAGACAGACTGACTGACTGACTGGCATATTCTCACACGCTAGATGTACTTAAAGTCATCAACAAGAACATAAAACAATAATTTGTAGCGTGAATACAAATATTAATTTCCTTTCGCTTGGAGCGGGAGAGAGAGAGAGCGAGAGTGGAGGAAAGAGAAACACGAGCTCACACAACTTTGTTGTAATACGAGCAACGACACGTTCCGGATCAACATTTGTTGTCATCTTTCATCACCTGAAACAACATTTCCACACAAAAAGCCAACGGTCACATCTCCTTCGTGAGATATTCAATTTTGATGTTAATAATTAATTAATAAAATATTATTAATGCGATTATCGATGTCAAAAGAATTTTGATCAGGTTTCACGTCTGTGAGATGTGTGGATGCCCAGCATAACGGAATTGTGGTGTAGAACGTGCCAAAGATAGATTTCCCCCTTTGACTTTGAAATGTCCGGTCGGGGATAATTTTTTCCAGATTTTCAAAGGAAAAGAATAATAACAAAGAAATACTTGCAATGGAATGTCCACATCCATTTCAGTAGGGGAAAGAAGTTTCTTCTAGTTTTCTATTTCTAATACATTTCCTTGGAAAAACAAGCTCTTCGGTGTCATTCCTGACACCATGTGTATATTAAAGAATAGAATATTCTATTTATCCCTTATTTTTAAAAATAGAAGCCATGTGAATATGAAAGTAACCCGTGACCTGCCGACACCAATACCTGCTTATCCCCTCCCTCTAGCCCAGCCATATAATTTCCATTTGGTAACCCATCTAAATACCGTCTCACCCTCCGTAACTAACATTATGGCACATCCATTATGGTTTATGGTGTTTAATATTGCACCTTGTCGTTGTTGTTGTTTTTTTCTTTTTTGTTATTTGTAACTGCATATTATTAAAATAATATTTATTACGACGAGACATTAGAGGAGCTTGTTTCATATTTCATTCTTTGCCCGCTTGCTTTCTCGCTCAGCCAACTATAACATAATAACAGCTAATAAAACAACTTAATTCCATAATAATAATAATAACAATAACGGTAGCAGCTGCAGCAGCAGCAACAACAACATCAACCACAACAACAATAATAAGAACAGAATAAAAAAAGAGAATGTAAAGACATATAGAGAAGCAGTTTTCCATACAATGGAGACCTGAACCTGAATAATAAGCGTTAAATAACAATGGCTGGATGGGTGGATAGATGGACAATTCTCCAGTTTCCTAGTTTACTGTTCATTAGTGGTAAACGAGGGTGGTCCATGTAGGGTGGTTAATGGGCTAAACTTTGAATTTCTTTGAGTTAATTTCGTAAATGGGCCACGTAGGTCCACGTTTTCATATGCCACCCCCCATATAAAGGTACCTCCCAATATTCGGTATTCTGATGATTTTATCGATATTTCTTACCGGAATTATTTCAAATTTCATATTTTTAGTTCGCAATAGGTACTACAGCCTATGAAAAAAAATCGCGCATGAAAATCCATGTCTTCGTATACCCTCCATGTAACTGCACCTCCCAATATTCTGTATTTTGATGACTTTAGTGATATTTCTTACCGGAATTATTTCAAATTTCATGGTTGAAGTTCCTAATAGGTACTACAGCCTATGACAAAAAATCGCGTTCATGTGTACATATAGCCTCCTCCGGTATTTTGATGATTTTAGTGACATTTTTTTCCAGAATTGATGCAAATTTAGTGTTTAAAGTTCGAAATGGCTACAAAAACCTGTAACAAAAAAAATCGCGTATGCAGGTCCACGCCTTCGTATAGCCCCCGTATAACGATACCTCCCGACATTCAATGTTTTGATGATTTTAACGGTATTATTCACCAGAATTGTTTGAAATTTTATGAATGAACAGGGGCTGGATTCTTGTTCTTTGAAAATGAAAAAGAAAATGAAAAATATTTCCTTTTTAATTTTTTTTTTCATTTGACATTTCTTTCCTTTATAAAAGTTATCATTTCACATTTTCATAGAACAAGAATTGAGGCCCAGGTCTTTATATAGCCCCAATATAAGGTTTTTTTCTTGGGAGATATTTTTCTACGGAATTTTTTTTTAAATTTTTGAAGTTGGTGGAGGGTATTAATAGGTCATCCCGTCCAAACTTAGCTACTTTTTACTTGTTGTTGTGTTTTCTCTTTAATTATCTCTTTTCCAGACCCTCGGTTTTGAGTACAGCTGCTGAAGATCAATAGCTCAACTTCAAACGGACAATGTCTTAATTCCGCAATAGTTTTACTATCAATCTATCTCCAATACCCTATGCAAAAACGCCATACCCTATAAAGAATTTTTGAAATAAAAGTTTCGAAATTTGACATTTTCATACAAATTAATCGATAAATTACATTTTTGCAGGGGGCCACATGATTCAAGGCATGACTATATTTCAGATACTAGAAGTTTAAATAAACATTTGAAACACCATTGGAAATAAACAAATATTGTCTTTATGTACCGCAAGTGTCAAAAGTGGGTTTAACCTACTAACGGTTTGCTCCAAAACAAACATTTAAAACACTTTTGGAAAAAAAACAAATATTCATTTCATATACCACCAGCGTTAAAATTTGGTCCATGTGTTGCTAAAAAACTCTAAAATAATTAAACAAACAAAAAAACAGTTAAGATAACATTAATTTGTTGTTGTTTGCTTTAGACCCATATACTCATAACTAATATTGACTGACTTTAGATCCGTATACTTATCACTTATATTGAGTCACTTTTTACGCCTATGGTATTCGTAAAGTAATATGGAGTATGTTCAGTCAAACTATTTACATTTTTCTTCTGTCGACCCACCCTATTATAATTTGCATTACAACGTTCATCCATAGTCACCTATGGTCAAATTAGTTCTTACCTATAAAAATACCGTTGTTGCTGTTTTTTTTTTTTTTTTTGTTTATTAATGATGATTTTAAGATATTATAGATGGTAGTGACAGTTTATTAATTTGCCATTACACACATACATACATCCGCACATACAATTCATTTTGCTGAGTAATTTCTTGAATTTTGTGAAAAATCTCAATTTCAATATTCAACATTTAATTTAACAATTTTTTTCCACACATTGCATTTTTTTTTTGTTTATACCAGCATGTGAGGATTATTTTTCCACTTTTGTATTTGTTTTTTTTTTTGTGTTTTGTTTTCACTCAGCAAAAATATTTTCGCAAATTCATTTATTTGGCCGATCAAAATTCTTAGCAATTTTTCTCAAATCTTTTTTTTTATGTTTGCACGTGAAAAACTCTAACCCACGTTGCTACCGTCTTTTTACGGTCTTGTGTTTCTCTTTGACTAATTTTTTATGATAATTTTGTTGCTGTTCTTGTTTTTACTTCATTTTTGTTTTTTTGTTTGTTTTGTTTTGCCGATAATCATTTAATTGTTGCGTGCGTGGGAGCAAAGGGTTTCAGCAACGCGGGCCACCTGCAGGGAGGACAAGAGGTTTGCAATGCTTGGCGATCAATTCAATTGAACGTTCAATTTATTACTGAAAAAAAATATAGAATATATCGGATGAGAGCCAAAACTATAGACAGAGCGAGAGCGAGAAAGAGCAACCAAAAAAACGTAAGGAGACAAAATAAACAGTTTTTGTTGATAGATTTTCTAGAGAACCAAAGGTGAGAGAATGCGAGCCATTAACACTGCTGTACAAAATATTGTTATCTTTCATCAGCGATTTGTAAATATTCAATATCGTGTTATGTTTTTCTGATAAAAGAATGTTTTTTTCGGCAAAAAAAATCCAACGTGGTTGCTGCCGGTAAATTAATTATCCATTTAAAACCTGTAGAAAATCTTATTTATTTGAAACATTGGTTTAGGGTTTTTGTTTCCATCTAAAGAATTAATATTAAAAAAAAATATCTATAGAACGTTCCCATTAGAAGTCTCTGGGCCCGATTCCTCCAAAATGTTTAATTTTCTGATATTTTAGTACATGAAATAGTCTATTATTTGCTTATTGCCCTGAAGTTATTATTTTGTACGATGCCGTTCTAAAAATAATGAACACCATCCAGGTCTAGACCTATTGAATCTACCAATAAAAAAACTATTCGTCTTATGTCATAAGAAAACCTATAGTATATAAAAAATACAACCTATCCTCTATAATACTTTCTAAGAATAGAAAACGGATACATTGAGAACTTCTATCAATGTAGAAGATTTTTAGGTCTCATTTCAAATTTGACCAATATGTCCTATAATATAGAAGGTATTGTATCAAGAGAAGACCTATGGAAGGGGAATGTTTTTTTATACCCTCCACCATAGTATGGAGGGAATATTAAGTTTGTTATTCCGTTTGCAACACCTCGAAATATCCATTTTAGACCCCACAAAGTATATATATTATTTATCAGCGTAAAATTCTAAGACGATTTATACCTGTCCGTCCGTCTGTTGTAATCACGCTAGAGCCAAAACTAATAAAGATAGGAAGCTAACATTTCGCAATGATCTGTCTTTGGTCTGCAGGCAGGTTAAGTTGGAAGATGGGCTATATCGGTCCACGATATTGTATAGCCCTCATATAACGGTACCCCCGATATTAGGTATTTTGATGATTTTAACCACGTTTTTTCAAGGGAATTGTCTGAAATTCTACACAAGAAGTTCTTCGCTACTACTTTACCCCCTTGAAAGGTAATTTTCTAAATAGGTCCACGATATCGTATAACCCCAATACAATGGTGTCCCCCATTATTCGGTATTTTGATGATTTTAGCCACATTTTTCAATGGGATACCCTGAAAATCCACACAAGGAGTTCCCTCTGAGGAGTTCCCTCTCCTGGAATAGAATTATCTATATTGGTCTACGTTTTGATATAGCACCCATATAACGCTACCCGATATATTCGGTATTCCCTGGATTTTCGCGATATTATTCACCGGAATTGTGTCAAATTTCGTATTTAAAGTTCGTTATGGGAATTACAGCCTATGACAGAAAATTGTCTGTGCAACCTGCATGTCTTCGTATAGCCCCATATAACGGTACCTCCCGATAGTCGGTATTTTGACGATTTTAGCGACATTATTCACCGGATTTTTTTCAAGTTTCGCATTTAAAAATTGTAATGGCTTTTGACAAAAGTTGCCTATGCAGGTCCACGTCGTCGTATACATACGGCTACAGTCAGTATTTTTAAGATTTTAACAGAATTTTAAACGGATTTTATTTTTTGGAAATTTGGCAAATTTGTTACAAATAGTGGAGGGTATTAGCTTTCTTAATTCGAAATTTTTTTTAATTCGAAAATTATTGCGTTTTCCTCTTCTTTTCTCTAAGCCTTAATTAAAAACAATCTTCAAATTAACATTTTCTTCTCTGTTTCCCTGGCCAGTCAGAGATTTTGGCAATTTTCCCCAAACAATTTTTGTTGCGACACTGACTTTCGCCGCCTACTTTTCCTATCTTTTTTCGTTGAACAAAGAAAATACATTTTTCGTAAAAATTTAATCACACATTTTACCTTAATTGAGCAAACAGATTTCCTGGCCTAGTAGAAAAAGGTGTCTTTGTTTGTTTTCCTTCTGTCAAGTTCTTCTTTTGCATCCTTCTCTGGCTACTAATTTTCCTGTGTTTATTTTAGAATCCATTTAACAATGCCTAAGCCTAACATAGGTATTTGAACGAAATTCAAACTTAAAAAGGAAATTCTAAAATTAAATATGCATAGAAATAACACGTAGCTGGCCTTATGCCAAGAGGAGGTTGAGAAAAAATGATTTTTTTTATTATTTCTTTTTTTTAAAGAATATCTCACAGTGTGTAAACACTTTCCAATGGGCCACGTGTGAGAAATTCTGGTTTGCAGTTTGAATTGAGTTTCACAAATGCCTCAAGTTATGCTATGGTGATTTCAAATATTTTCCAAATGTCAAATATATTTTAAACAAACTTTGGTTAATTATTTTTTAAATAAAACTAACCTTTCAAAATATCAAAAAATTTCAAAAATTCCACAGAGAAGTAGTAATTCGTTCAACTTGTCATTTCAAAGGTCAACAACTGTAAGCATTTGAGGGAAAATATCCTTTGTTATAAAAACCATTTCCAACAAACACCCACCAACTTCCCACATACCTTCAAAGAAAGGACATAAGCTGTCATCCTTTTCAGAAAAAAGGAGAAATCAAATTAGTTAATCACTGGAATAATGGCAAATCAAAGAGAACTCGTGTAGAAATCCCTAATTTTTCATGGAATTTTTTCAAACTAAATTCAGCTAATAGCCTGAATTAAATGGGTATATTTGAAATGGGAATTGAATAAAAAACTGGAGTACAAAAATAAACTTGTTTTGCTGGCTACGAAACTCGTCCCAGAAATTCGTCCAGGGAGAATATGAGCCACTTGATATTTCTTCGTTTTCAAAACAAAAAATGTTTGTAAGGTATTTAGCGATGTTTTTTATATTTTACAAAATTTCGCCAGTAAAAATTAATTCAGTTCCCAAATGTTTATGGAAGGCCATCAACATTTCCATGAAAATATTGGTCTTTTCGTAAGTAGCTAGAGTTATTGGCGTTTAAAATATTCATAAATGCTGCGAAAGTAGTGTTAACTTTTGAATCAGATCGAGTTCAGCTTTAGATCGAAATCAGACCAGAACAGTATATTTCAATACACAATTTCATCCATATATTTACGATTTATAAATATGAATTTTTATACATTTTCAATCTAGGCCTACATAAAGTCGGCCAGAAAGCCCATCTGACGACCAAGTTTGCTGTCAAAAACTCAATTGTGATTTAAAATTCAAACCTAGTCAAATCACAATAGAGCAAAAACTAATAAGATTATTATCAAATCGTTGTCAAATGTAGTCAACCTGGCCGATCTTATGTGGGCCTTGTTTTCAATGTTTTCGTTTTTGTTCATTTTGTAACCAATAACAGGCCTGCATGAGATCAGATTGGAGAATACCTGTCTCATGCCTCAGCCCATGGGTCCCACTCAATTCAAATCTTTATAAAAGCCCATAAACCACTCGAACGATTTTCCAATCTGTTATTTATTATTTATTATTAATATCCTTTTGATACTCACAATATCGATTCGGTCCTGTGACAAATGACAAAGCATTGTCTGAAAATGCCTTTAAAAAATTGATGTGAACTATATTCCAAATGTTTTTTTGATGTTAAGTCACAAGTTTTTAGGACTCGGCTTTTGTTTGGATTATTTTTTCTCCTATCCTATTGTGCCTTGCTTGCCACAAGTGTATGTGGGGTAGGCTTTAGTCCTGCGCGCCTAAAAGTATGCAAATTGTTGTGCTAAATTGTGGGCACACATATAACACCAGCAGCATAACACACACATGCATCCTCCCCATGTGTGTGTGTGTGTATGTACACAACAAACACTTGAAAATAAACGACACAAAAACATAATTCACCGAACGGGGAGGAGAACAAAAAGCTTGAGTTTTCATCTTTGCCAGGGACACCAACAACCAAAAAAAATATAAAAATAAAGGAACAAAGACAACATGAAATCATAAAATAAAACAAAGAAGGAAAATCATAAAAGTAACCGGAAAACACGTTTTTTTAGAGAAAAATTTTCTCTGGACCAAAAAGGTGGAGATTGCTGAACAAAACAGCAACGCCTTAATGTAGGCTACAGCAATTAATGCAACTTCTGTTTGTCTGGCTGGATTCCTTTTCTTTTGCCAATAATCTACCTTTAATGGTAGCTAGTACTTTGAATATGAAATTTTTATGTATTTTAATTACATTTTCCGTTTAATCCACATGGAGATTGTTCACTTTTTCTTTCTTCTTTTGTCAATTTTAGTTGTGTTGCCGTTTCTTCCGTTTAAAATTCTTCCGTATCTATTCCAATGTATTCCACTCTTTGTATTTTCGAACTGCGCTGCGTATGAAAGTTAAACAAGAACTGAATTCATTTTAGGTGACTACCTGAGCTCTAAGGCCTCTTCAATTAGCCACCGACCGTCTCTTTACGTAACCTAATGCTCTCTTGTGTGCTGCTGCTTGTCGTAGCAAAGAGCGCAAAAGCTTCTTGTTACGATGTAAATGAAAGCTTTTTTCGCGTTGTCAATGCAATGTGAATATAACCGTTACGAGAAAAAAATGTTTTATTTTTTCGTTCCATCGACCTTAAGGCTAGATTACACATGATGTTAGGGTCATATGTAAAGTGAATTTTTCCACAATTATTTGTGGCATTATTGTATCCTCCATCATAGTATGGAGGGTATATTAAGTTTGTCATTCCGTTTGTAACACCTCGAAATACACACTTTAGACCCCAGAAAGCTTATATATTCCTGATCAGCATAAATCACTCTAGCTTCTGAATTGGAGTAGGTTGATAAAATTTTACTCGAATGTATATTATGTCTGCAGGACTTTTGGTATTGAAAATGGGCCATGTAGCGCCCGTAATGGATACTAGAGCCTATGACAGAAAATTGTCTGTGCAGGTCCACGTCTTCGTATAGCCCCCATATAACGGTACCTGTCGATAATCGGTATTTTGATGATTTTATCAAATTTATTCACCGGAATTGTTTCAAATTTGGTATTTAAAGTTTGTAATGGATACTACAGCCTAAAACAGAAAATTGTCTGTGCAGGTCACCGCCTTCGTTTAACGCCCATACAGCGGCACCTCCTTATTTTCGGTATTTTTTTAATTTAAGCAGCATTATTAATCGGAATTGTTTCAAATTTGGTATTTGAAGTTCGTAATGTATACTACAGCCTGTGAGAGAAAATTGTCTGTGCTGGTCCACGTCTTCGTATAACCCCCATATAACGGTACCTCCCCATATTCGGTCTTTTGCTGATTTCAACGACATTATTCAGCGGAATTGTTTCAAATTTGGTATTTGAAGTTCGTAATGAATACTACAGTCTAAGACAGAAAATAGGTGTGTCTGGTTACTCTAAAATTTGTAACAATTGTTACAAATTGTTACTGGAAGTCGTCTGTTAACCCGAAAGTTCTGCAAAAGAGAGCGGTTGGAGAGAGAAATTTTGACAGTTCTTTCAGTGAGAGTTTGCAAATTCTTGCTGGACAAATTTCTTCTTGCAATCACTTGCAACTCTTCTTCTTCTCATTCATCGACATTCAATCAGATGTTTTCTATTGTTTGTTTAGTTTCAATTTGAGAACAACGTAAAAGAATGTGAAAAAAGTAAATATTAATATGTAATAAGAAAATAAAAGACTATTTCCAACATTTTTATTTAAAAAACTTGTAAAATTAGTATTGCTTCCTTTGTTTTAATTCTCCTTATGGGGACAAATTGGTTTGTTTTGACAAATCAGCTGATTATTTGCAAACTTCTGCAGGAATACCGTCTGTTTACTTTTCGCATTTTCCTTGCAAAAGAGAATAAAACTACCTTACTCTCTCAGAAAGAAGTTGCTGGACAATTCCTGCTGGAAAAGTAACCAGACACACCTAATGTTGTGTACAGGCCCACGTCTTCGTATAACCCCCATATAACGGTACCTCCCCATATTCGGTATTTTGATGATTTTAGCGCCATTGTTTGCCGGAATTGTTTCAAATTTGGTATTTGATGTTCATAATGGATACTGCAGCCTAAGACAGAAAATTGTATGTGCAGGTTCACGTCTTCGTATAGCCCCTATATAATGGTAGCTCCTGATATTCGGTATTTTGATGATTTTAGCGACATTATTCATCGGAAATGTTTCAAATTTGGTATTTGAAGTTCGTAATGGATAATAAAGCCTATGACAGAAATTTATCTTTGCAGGTCCACGTTTTGGTATAGCCTCCATATAATGGTACCTCTCAGTAATCGGTACTTTGATAATTTTAGCTTATTCACTGAAATTTTTTCAAGTTTCGCTTTTGAATATTGCGATGGCTTATGACAAAAGTTGTCTATGCAGTTCCACGTCGTCGTATAGGCACTAATATAACGGCTACATTCTGTATTTGTAAGATTTTTACAGAATTTTTAACGGATTTTATTTTTATATATGACTTTAACATCACGTGTAATCAGGCCTTTAACAATTTTATAATAGCTTTAGTAATCCGTAGACTTAGGTGGAGTAGGACTGATTGGTGGATATATACTCTACAAAAGTCTTAAATACTGAGAAAATTTTCCTCAACAGCCTGAAAAGACTAAAACCAATATTTCCATTAGATCCTAGATTCTAGGACCTAGATTCAAAACAATCTTTATCTTAATCCAGTTTTTTAAAAAAAATAGCAAATTCCAAAAAGCTCTTTTCGCTAAAACATGTTCTCCATGACATAGCCTTGTTTTGAAAATATCCCCCTCATTTGTCGCCTTTGGCAGCAGACAATGTCATTTGTAAGGCTGCCCCTTAAATTAATTTGCCGATATTTCTTCCGTTTGCAAAACCTTTAACATAACGGAAATAAAATTTCACTTTCACCAGCAGTCGTTGGGGAAACGTGTCTGACAATGTGAAACATTTAAATCCAATTTGTGTTCGCTGTGAATGGCTACTAATTTAATTTAAGGTAATGTTATAGGTGCTTGGATATTGAAGAACAAGAAAATTGGTAAACATGTACAAGAGAAAAACAATATCTCATAATTTCGAATTTAAAATCAGTATTAGATGACGAAGTCAGCGTAATTCCAAATATAACAGAGGTAAGTTAGAATAAGTTACTTTCTACAAACGCGATTCAACTCAAGATGAAATAAGCACTAGGAAAGAGAGAATGTACTACAATAGCATACTTAATTTAGATTTTTATCCAATGTCAGAGTTTCAAATTGTGCTGTATTTTAGGGGGTTTATGTACTCATTATGGTTATATTGAACCAATCTAGGTATATTGAACGAATACTACGCATAGGCTCCAAGTCAATCTACTACAAAAATCCCGCGGCCGTGGCGTTATCCCACAATTTTTAGATTTTTAGACTTTTCAAAGATTACAACAAAATTTTATGGTTTCTATTGATTATCTTGTTAACTTGTGTGGTGGTCATGACAATTGGCCGCTAAAAAGACCTTGACATTGGTCTTCGGATATGGCTTCTTAAGTATTGACATTTTCGTAGGGAAAGCAAATAACAATTGTCCTACAAAACCATACCAATGAAGTGTCATTGAATTGCATTGCTTTTGCCAAACCGATAGACTATAACAATTGGAATTTGTGCATTTTCTTTAGCGATTCATTTCCATAGGTATGTAGAACAAAAACAAAAATTATGCTCTTAAAGAAAATCTTTATTTTATACTAACATAACAGCAATTTAACAATCGACTTAGGCACTACGAATCTTCTTGCGTTCCCGGTAGACACAATCCTTTTGAACTGTAAAAAAGAAATAGAAAATAAATTAAATTGCTTGTTTAACATTATAATAATGCTCTCGAATCTCAGACTGCTCATAAGTCAAATGATATGCCCTAGGTCAAATGTGGGTACGGTCAGAACCCAGGAAAATCATCAATCAAAAATAGCATTTTCAAGATTATGACGCGAAATTTTAAAACAATATTAAGAAGGAAAACGCGAACTACAATTTAAGCAATGAATTATTGAGTAAATGGACTACAAAAATTATGAAGCAGAAACCAACTCAGAGGTAATATGAGAGAGACTTTGTGGTTTATCAAATATAGTTATATTAGTAAAAGCACATACTTTGTTTTGCTGTCCTTTCAAAGGTTTTAAGTAGAAAAGCATAATCATAATATTGTCTAATACACAGGTATTTGTCATTTTTACGTTAATTTAATATAGACATCTAATCATATAATTAATAGTTTTTTCAAGACTTTGTCATAGGTCTATGTCTAGCCTAGTTTAAGATGTCCTTGCATATGAATTTACGAATTTTACAATAATTAGCTTGTGGGGACCTGAAAGTTCCTTATGTTATTTACACACTTATACAAGAGACTATCAGCAATTTAGGCTCGGGAACTCCCTGATTTAAAATATGTATATAACTTCTATTCTTCATTCATACTGTGTGTCGTATGGGATTTTGTGGGGTAGCCGGTGTTGGAATTTGTCCAGAGGGCCTTATCAAGGAAAACTAAAATATATAAAAGTAAATTTTATTGAATTCAGCGTATCTAATATCGAAAAACGAGAAACCCTAAAGCATCACAATGATACTCCCTACTGCCATAGTCGGTCCTAAAATCTTCTAACGTTGTACTATGCTTTACCAGATCCTCTATGGAGATTGTTGCATTACTACTTTAACTATTCTCTACAGCATATATTTTGAGTATATATTGACAGATTCCATTGCATTATACTCACTAAAAGGATCAAATCGTATGCATTCAATTTTGTCCGACAGTCTGTCGCGAACCGTATTGAACTTGTGGCCACTGACCACACTCTCAACGACAACCATGATGCGCCTGGAAGAAATAGTGAATTAAAATCAATGACGCCTAGGGAAAGGAATATATTCAACTGATGGAACATACTTGCTCTTGACTTTCTTCAACAAAATGTTTGTTAGGCGCATTTCGTTTATTTTGTTTTGTAACAATTATAACTATATAACTATTTTCACGTTCATACACGACTACTTATAGCAAGTTACCAATTACCAAGTTACCGGCTGTCGTTGCCACATGAAGTGGCAACAATTTCAAGTTATCTTGTCACCATTCTGTAGTAATTGCCCTTTATTCCTCCATTTCATCATCATATTCGTAAACACAAAGTCTTCCGATCTAGGGAACACTCATGTTGTCGGCCGTGCAGGTAGGGATAAGTAACTCGACTTTCGATTAATCGATGAACACGTCTATTCATTATCAATTAGTGCATTTTATATTGTGGTACATTTGCATCCACAATTTTCACTTCGCTAATGAAAAAAGAACAAAACGGAATTGAGTGATGAAGTTAAACAGTTAAAGAAGAAGTTAAAACAAAGAAAAAACAATGACCGCTAAAAGGGCTCTCCAAGCACAATTTTCTCTCAAGAAAACAGCTGCTTTTATAGACTTCTTCATATTAATCGGGTCAAGAATTGCTGTAATGTGACATTTTTTACTGTGATAACACTTTAAGATATCGAAAAAGTTTCAAAAGTAGTAGATTCTTACAGGTACTGGAACAGAGACACAATTAAAAATTGCATAAACGGATTTATGATGAAAAATAAAATTTCTGAAAATAATTGCCTGGTATAAATATGAGAGGCGAGTTCAAACGAGAACGATACAATTTGCAGCGAATAAATAAAATATAAATTAGATAAAAGGCAATACTAGTAGATTCTTGCATGTACTGGAACAGAGCTTATTTATGAGTAGCCTATTGTGAATGATTAACACACATCTCTCAACACTCTCATTCGTAAACAATGTCAAGTCGGCATTCTCCATTTGTCTTTCCCCACTATCCAATCACACGGAACGTTTTTTAAATTTGTGTGAAAACCACGTGCGACCGGGGACATCTTGGTAAATCCTTCCAAGCCTTCCACAATTCCACTGAAACATCATTATCCTAAGGTATGTAGCTAAAAATGGATCCATTTGCCGACCACGTCAATAAACAATTTGAAAAAATCAATTGTTTTGCCTCGAATTTCACCAAAACGTTTATTCCCATAGTTGATACAGCATTAAAGATGTCAACGGACGAAGGAGTCTCTGCATTCCAAGTATTTCAGGCAACAAAGCAGAATAAAAAGTTCAAAAACGCAAAGAAATCAACAAAATCTGTTGTACATAACACAAAGAAGCCAATAGCTAAGCCTGCAGGTGACAAGGAACACAATGTAAGTAAATCATCTAACAAGAAACAGAAACAGGAGAAGGAAACAAAAACAAAAACAAAAGCTACGGAGGCATCCTCAAAAGTTGGAACGAAAAAGCAATTAAACAAGAACAAGCAAAACGATGCTGGTAATCGTACAGAACAACAAAAGCAGCCCAAAACCAAACAAAAACTGCAGGATTATTTGGCCAAACAATTGGAGAATGATGTCGAAGTTAATTCCTCGGAAGATGACTTCGATAGTGATGATCTAGGAAGTGAGGAATACAGCTACACTGAATCTGATGAGTTCTCCAATGAGTATACCATTAACGAAAGTGGCAGTTTTTCTGAAGATGAAGAAATGCAGGACGAGGAGTCGTTTGAGAATGAGCTTCCAACAAAGAATTCTAGCAAGGATAATAGGAAACGTAAAAGTCCAGAACCAACGACTCAATCTAAAGCCAAGCCTTCGGAAAGTAAAATAAATGGCGAAGTATTACACGCCAAAAAGGCCAAAACCACAGATCGTAAATCTTTGCCAGAAACCAAAACTCAAAAACCTACAGGCACAGCTGATAACAATAATCGCAGAAAATCCATAGCTACATCCCAACAACTGAGAAAAGTTTCCATCACATCGGTAGATGTAAAACTTGAGCCGTTGTCTCCACCCCACAATGTCGCCAAAGTCAGCAGCATTGACGAAGGAAAGCGAGCCTTCCAATGGCTATTAAATCCCGTCTCAGTAGATGAGTTCTTCAAGAAGTATTGGGAAGCCAAGGCTTGCTTAATAAAACGCAAACAATCCAACTACTTTTCCCATTTGATATCTTTCGAGGCCATTGATGAAATGCTAATAAAGAATCATGTGGAGTTTACCAAAAATGTTGATGTAACATCATACAAAAATGGTGAGTACGGAGAGATCACAACGGAAAATTGTCAAACTAAAATTGTTATTTGTAGGGGTTCGTGAGACATTAAATCCCGAAGGACGTGCCATGCCTCCTGTCGTTTGGGACCACTATGGCCAAGGATGCAGCATTCGTTTGTTGAACCCTCACACCTTCTTACCTCAGTTGTTTACTCTGAATACAACCCTGCAAGAGTATTTCCATTGTTTGGTGGGTGCTAATGCCTATTTAACACCACCAAATAGCCAGGGATTTGCCCCACATTATGATGACATCGAAGCATTTGTGTTGCAAATTGAAGGACGTAAACGTTGGAAGTTGTATAAACCACGTTCCTCCGCCGAAATTTTGCCAAGGGAATCCTCTCGTAACTTCACACAAGAAGAAATTGGGAAACCCATTTTGGAAGAGGTGACTATGCTTGTTTTACCAGTTCTTAGATTACACGTTAACACATATTCTCTTCACACAGGTTTTAGAACCGGGCGATGTTTTATATTTCCCACGTGGTACCATTCATCAGGCCTGCACAGAGCCTGGCTATCACTCGCTGCATATTACATTGAGCGTTTATCAAAAACAATCATATGCAGATTTGTTTGAAAAAATGCTTCCCCTAATGATTAAGAAAGCCATTGCGGAAAATGTTGAAATGCGTCGAGGTCTACCTCTGAATACCTGGCACCACGCAGGCATTGCTTTCAGCGACAATACCACAAAAGAGCGAGTGGATCTGCAGAAGAAAGTCACACAACTCTTGCACAAGTGCATTAGGGATATGCCATTGGAGGATTTAGTGGATGCAGCGGTGGATCAAGTAGCCAAAAAGTTCCAACATGAAGCTTTGCCTCCCGAAATATTGCCTTCGGAACGGACACGTACTGTTTTCGGTTCACGCAATCACACCAATGAACGCGGCGAATGTGTTTGTGATTATGATATTGATGAGCGCACAAATGTTCGCTTATTGAGGGCTAATATCATGCGGCTGGTGGACGAAGAGGAAAAGATACGCATCTACTATTATTTGGATAACTCAAAAGAGTATTGTGAATATGAGCCCAATTTTATAGAAATCGAACCAATGGAGGCCGCCAGCGTAGAGGTTTTGATAAAAAGTTATCCGCAATACATTGGGGTCTCCCAATTGCCCTTGCCCAGTGATGATCAAAAGATCAATTTAGTTACGGCGCTGTGGGAGCGAGGTTTGTTAATGATGGAAAAACCATTTAAATAATAACTGAATTTGATTCCAACCGTATAGCTTATTCAAAAGTCTGTTAGAATCTAAGGTTTGTTAATTTTCCCCCATTTCAATTTGTTAATTAAAAATAAATATGTCCAAAGTCCTAAGTTAAACCATTTTAAATGTGAAAAAAAACAGTCGATTCGATTTCATTATTTATTTTATAGTTTTTTGCTTAATTGTATGACTATAAATGTTGTGATTATTTGGTAATGAATTTCTCAGAGAAACCATAATAAGTAAGAAGGAATTTTTACTTCGAAGGCAGTATGTTACTTTTTATAGGCTTGTTTAGCGATGGCACGCAAGAATTCGGCACTGTCGCCTGTTGCATCGACCATTCGACTCAAATGTCCTTGCGGATTTTGCAGCAAGGCATGAGGAGCATCATATTCAATTTTCCTGCCAGCATCCAGAACTAGAATGCGATCAGAATCCATTACAGTCTTCAAGCGGTGAGCAATAGTCAAAACAGTACATTCTTTGAATTCTTGGCGGATAGTCTTTTGAATTAATGAATCGGTGCTGAAATGTAGAATAGCATTTTTGTAAAAGTTGAGAATCTTTGGAATTTGTTTTAGCTTACTTTTCATCAACATTGGCTGTAGCTTCATCCAAAACTAAGATTTTGTTCTTGCGCAAAATAGCACGGGCCAAGCAGAGTAACTGACGCTCTCCAATACTAAAGTTATTGCCAGACTCTGCCACCTCATCCTCCAGACTTAGTCCATTGAGGCCGGCCTAAAGGTAAGAGAGGAATGTTTACTACGAATAGAAATTAAACAAAAAAATGTTACCTTTTCCAAAGCTGTAGTCAGTACTTTTTCTCGGCCGTAATACTGATTGAAGGGATCCAAATTGTATCGTATGGTACCCCTGAATAACACCGGTTGTTGTGGAATAACCGATATATTGGCACGCAAGATTTGCAAATCAATGTCGGCACAATTTTTGCCATCTATAAAAATGTTACCCTGCGAATCATAAAGACGGAACAATACCGAAATCAATGAAGTTTTTCCAGCGCCTGTACGCCCCACAATGCCAATTTTCCATGTCGGAGCTACAACTAAATTTAAATCCTTCAAAATAGGTTGGCCATTCTCTTTGTAGCGCAGTGAGACGTCGTTAAAGCGGATTTCTCCGGCTGATGGCCAATTGTCGGGAGTCAATTTATTGGCATTATTCTCAACATGATCTAGTTTGGTATATGCCAAGATCCTTTCGACACTTGTCATTTGTTGGAAAGCTTCGCCCAGTTGCCTTAGACCATATTGAACCATGCCAGTTAACATCATGGCCTGAGTAATAGCAAGGCCTACATTTCCACTGTAGGTTCCTGCAAATAACGCATTTTTGTTATGTCTACCATTTCAGTGCGCCAAGGGATACTTACCATAATTGAAAATGATAAATGAAAAGGTAACCGAGTTCAGGAGAATGCAAACATTGGCGGTGTCCAGCCACAAACCAAGAGCTGTGTTCGACGACAGTGTCAGGTGGTATGCAGCGCTGTGTAGATCTTGAAGTTTGTCAAATTCTTCAATCATGGTGTGCTGAAGATTCCGTGAACGTATGGTGGCCAAGCCACTCAGGCATGAGGAAACATGTGAGAATACTGGACTGCGACGTATACCCTCCAAGCGTTTGAGATCTTGTGAAGCGCGTAAATACAATTTTATTATGACGAAGTAAACCAGAGCGACTGCGCACATTGCCACCAAAACCATGGGATTAACTATGCAGATCACCACCAGGACGCCCAACATGACTAGAGCCAAGTGTGTGAATTCCGACATAAAACGGGGCAAGCTTTCATCCATGGCGCCCATATCTTTGGAGAAGCGATTCAAAATTCGACCCGATGGATTGGTGTCGAAGAATCGCATTGTAGCCTTGAGGATACTGGAAAACATGCGTTCGTGAAGAACTTTGGAGGCATGCATGCAAGTTTTCAAGAAGAGGTAACAACGCATAATAATCATCTAGAAGTAGCCATGAATAACCACGAATTAGAAAATGGTTACACCAAGAGAACCTTTTGACTTACAATAATCACAGCAGCTATGAGCACACTATAGATGATCAGGCAGAGATCTTGACTTATAGAAGTCTCCTGATTGAGATTGTCCATAAAGATGATTTTGGTGTAGATATTAACAAAGTAATCGGCACCACTGCAGATTACCTGAGACACAATCAATATCAGGGTAATACTCAAGAGACCGGCAATACTATTTCCAGCATGGAAATATTCCCACCATACAGAGGCTTTTACTGTGCCCTTACCCTGGTCTTCTGCTTCCACTTGGTCGGTCTCGGTGTTCAGATTGATTTGCTGTGAATAAAAAATCATATTTCATTGTTTTATCAAATTTATGCTTGGCTTGGATGCATACCGATTTACTACAGCCATTTTGCATGGGTTGTTTGGCATTTGCTGTAAGCTCTTCTTCCTTGGTGGGTTTTACTTCAGCTACACTGTCAACATCACTGCTACCCCAATTGCAGTCCGATAAACGGCCTCTCATCTCCTCAAAACAACCTGTAGCTGTTATCTTGCCATCTTCCACCAGAACAATGTAGTCTGCCTGGTCTAGGTACTGTATTTGGTGGGTTATTAAAATGCGTGTCTTATTCCGCAACAACAGCGAATTGGGGCCCATGACATTGTTGAAAATTTCACGACCTACGCGGGCATCCACAGCACTTAAAGGATCATCGAATAGATATATTGAAGCTTTGTTGTTATATACTGCCCTCGCTAAGTTTACACGTGCCTTTTGACCTCCCGATAACGAAGCTCCACCTTCTCCAACCAGGGTAGCATCGCCGCAACGCAATTGCTTAAAATCTTCGGACAAAGCACAAGAGTTAATGACCTTTTGGTAACGATCCATATCCTCTTCTTGGCCAAATATGATGTTACTCTTGACAGAAACTGGAAACAGCCAGGGTTCCTGGGAGGCATATGAAATTTGTCCATCGACTTTGACAAGGCCATTTTCACATTCCAGTTCATTCAAAATCACTTGAAAAATGGAACTCTAAAGGGAAGAATTTCGAATTTATTTAAGAATTGTTTGTTTATTAGTGTAGTGTCATACCTTTCCGGCTCCAACTGGACCTACAATGGCGCAAAGTCCATGCTTTGGAATCTGCAGACTTATATTGGCCAGAGTAATTTTAGCAGGTTCCCTTATGGGCAACAATTTTAAATCATCTTCACACATTTTAATTGACACCGATGTATCGGAATCATCCGTTGTGCTTGAATTCCAAGAAGCAGTGACATTTTCCAATTCTACAGCGTTGTGATGATGGGGTTGTTGGTGATGGCTCTTTGAGGTATTGATTTCCGCCTTTTCCTTGTGCATTAGGAAATTTTCAATGCGTTCGAGTGATGTAAACGCCTCTGCAGCAAATGAAATGCCCATGGGACAGAATATACCGGCAACCAATTGAAATACATGGTACAAATTTGCCATGGCAAATATGATGTCGGCCGACATTAGCGAACCCGATCCCAGTTGAACTGCAGCGACAATGGTGATAAACAAAGTTAAACGTTCCGGCAAAATCATGCTGCTCAAGTAGAAACTGCGCAAGTAAGCGGCACGACGGGTCTCCAGGATTTCCAGGCGTCTAGCCTCTTTCACTTCCTTTTCAAAAGATTTCTCCCAAGAGTACATTTTAATTACTTGTATGCCACGGATCAATTCATTCATTTTACTGATACGAGCGTCAGTGCGTTCGGCGATTCGTTGCCTCAATCTGGCTGTCCATTTGCTGAGACTCAGTTGCACGGGTATGGTTTGCAGTAGGAGGGCCACAACACCCACAATGGCTGCATAGCCTATATGAATCCAAATCAAATACCCAATGAGCACAGTTTGTATGGGTAATATCCAGAGATAGTGGGCAAAGACAAAACCAATATCCAGGCGATTTACATCATTGGATATTAGATTGACAATGTGACCCACAGAGATGTCTCCAGCTGTTTTCAATGATAGTTTCGAGGCCTACAGACAGAAAAACAAAAACAAATCAATTACTTTCATGCTATACCTCTGTGGAATGTACCCACCTTTCTAAAGATCAAAGAACAACAGGCTATTCTCATTTTGGCACCCATTCGTTTTTGTCTTTGATCCACATGATGATTTATAAAACAACCAAACATAGTTAGACCCACCAGAAAACCGCCCAGACAATAAGTGTTGTGCCACATCCATGACATATAGGTCCAGACCCTTAGTTGAATGTTGTTGTTTGATTGAATGGTATCGATGCTAGGGTCTGTTGAATTTTCCATTGAGACATTAGAATCTTTCGAAGGATCTTGGTAGGCATTTGGCAGCTCTAAGAGGAGTTGAGCCAAAAACAAAGGAATAAGAGACCTGTTGGATAGACAACGTTACTATGTGTTACTTGGTTTGGACTCATATTTCCTTACTTCAGCATTATGTAAAGAAAACAAACGATGCCATCGGTAACGGCCAGCGGCCAAAAGGTCCTCCACACTGCCTTCCTCAGTTTAGGTTTACGCTTGGATTTCTTGGACTTTTCTAATTCTATAAACCAGTTCCTAAAATTGTTTACATAGTGTAATGAATATAAAGCGTATATTAAGTGTATTGGAAAGTAACTTACTTTTCTAATTTATCGCCTAGAATTCTAGATTCATCGTCTGGCAGACATTGGGGTAGATCGTCCTCCTTCAGGCCATTTTTACAGCCCTTATACATCAATGGAATTATCCATGTGAAGAAAAGCTGAGACAAAAACCCGGCCTTTGCGCGAGGATTCACCTCCTTGGGTTTTGCGGTGTTGTACATTTCGAGGATTTTCTAAAGAAAATAATTACTTTTTTTTTTAATTAATAAACCTATTCAAACATAATATTAATCTAAGATTTGAATGTTGAGTAGTTAGGGAAAATAAGTAAATTATACTTTAATCTTAATTATACTAATAATCTTAATTCTCATAACGGCTATATCAAATAAATTGCATTTGAATTCAAAATGTTGTTCCATTTTAGAACAATTGTTGAAATTGGTTTTAAAAACCATTGTTAATCAATAAACCACCACCCCTCCTTTATCTTAGCCATATTCGAAGCAAAGAAAGGGTATCTCCCGAAGTTTGCTTTGAATGATGTGTGTGGGCTTGTGGATCATAAAACTGAATCAGCTTTTACAAACTTCGCGTCGATACCGCAAAACAAATGCTACAGTAGTACAAATAAAATTTATTTTTTTTCTTCAAAATTTGATATCTAAAAAGCTTTTAAAGACGGAGATAGTTCTGGCGTGGTATTAAGTGTAACAGCTAGCAAAGTTGGAATGCTCCACCATATGGTATAGATTTTTTGCACATAGGGGAATGCCAATTTTCAAATATTTGTGGACCGACCGGGCTGTGGATCGGCCTTTGCGCAAGGATTGACCTATTTTGGTTTTGGGATGTTGAGTAGTTAGGGAAAGTAAGTTAATTATACTTTAATCTTAATTATGTAAGGCTCGTAATTGCATTTGAATTCAAAATGTTGTTCCATTTTACAACAATTGTTTAAATTGGTTTTAAAAACCATTGTTAACCAATACACCACACATTTATTATCTTAGCCATATTCGAAGGAAAGAAAGGTTATTTCCCGAATTTTGCTTTAAATGAAGTGTGTGGTCGTGTGGAGCATAAAACAGAATCAGCTTCTATAAACATGTCTCATCGATACCGCGGAACAAACGCCTCTATATTATAAATAATATTTATTTATTTTTTTCTTTAAAACAATTCAAGATTTGATATCTAAAATAACTTTTAAAGACGGAGGAAGTTGTGGTGTAGTAGTAAGTGTAACAGCTACCAAAGTTAGAATGCTCCACCGTATTGTTTGGGATTCACAGAATAGCAACAATTTTTCAAAAACAATTTCTTTATATCTTTGCGCAAAGGGGAATACCAATTTTCAAAAATTGCTAGGGAATAATTTTTACAGATTGTGGTGCTTTTGGCGTTGACTAGATTTTCCTTTGAATATAACATTAATGAAACGCGTTTCGTTGTTCACATTGCCCCAGCTAAGGAAGATATGCGTGTATTTAGCTACTTATCTTCACAGATGTAACGTTGCATGTATTTGTTTTCAGTTTTTATTTAAATTCTCAATTGTTACTCATAAATGTCTAGACAACTAAGTTATCAATTTAATCTTTAGGAATCAAATATCAGCAAATTACCTCTTTTGTAAGCCGCACAACTTTTAAATACAATTTAAGAAGACTTTCTTTCGAAATTCAGTCACCGATATCTTTTTTTAAATATTCAATATCTTTGTATTTTTCTTCGTTTAGTAGATTCGTTTTTTGTTTACCGCCACCAAAGCCAAGAGCGCCAACAGACACTGAGGCGCCAACAACAATTCATTTGCTCTGTAACAATCTGTGTGTGCTCCTGACGTTTCGCCACCTTCTCCAAACAAATCATTTATAGTTTGAATTTGTATTAGACTCTTTATTTATCACTTGACTATTATTATATTATGTTTGTTTAAATAGTTCAATTAAATTTGATTTCTTTGTTTTTGTTGTGTTCTTTTGATGTGAAATCACTTTCTTCTGCTCGTACACGACTGTCACGACAGTAGCGATGATTTGCTTGGATCGGCAAATTCTTATTCGTTGTACCCACCGTTTGAAAATAACCAAGCATTGCATTTTGCCTTGGTTTATATAGGGTACGGCCGGCTACATGGGGATCATCCCTACATTTACTCTCGTTATAGCATTGTATGGAGGTTGTTTCCCCCTATTCTGTTCTGTCGCACAAGTATCCGAGAGGAATGTGTATTCTTTGATAGGTGATCGTAGTTCTGGGTTGTTCTCTTACTAAGAGGGTTCTACCCTTATTTTATATATGTAAGAGAAGCTAGATTCTAATCACATTCGTAGAAATTCGAAAATATAGCGGGGATTTCCGATAAACATATAAATGTTTCAAAATAATAAAGCATATAAATAATCAATCATAAGATAAGTAATTATGTGCATACATGACATGTATTGTAAAAAACTAAAATAAAAATGAAAACTTGGGGGTTTCCCCCGCAAAGAGGGTTCTACACTTAATTTATATAAATGTAAAAAAGACAAGAGATTCAGATTTTATAAAATTTATAAAAATACAAACATTTAGCAGAAAATCATTTAATTTAATCATTTTCAACATAAAAACATTTTAAACGGTTGTTAATCTGAAATCGTAAGGACGTATTTATCAGAATCAGTCAGAATTTCATTAACCAGGGCCTCAATTCTTGTTCTATGAAAATGTAAAATGAAAATTTTTTATAAAGGAAAGAAATGTCAAATGATAAATTTTATAAAGGATTTTTTTTTTCATTTCATATTTTCATAAAACAAGAATCCAGCCCCAGTTATGTAGGATTTATCGCAGAGTCGGGCCTCCGTCATTATTGCAAAACCCTTTAGAGATTACCAAGTTTCTTCCGCAAAATGTAATACTTTTTATTAAAAAAAGTCTAATGGTTACCGAGGCAAAATTACAAATACAAGTAAATGAGGTTGAGATTAAAAAATAAAAGTAAACCATCTTCGTTGAAAAGATGTAAAAAAGCCATTCGGTTTACAAGAATTTGCTAGGACCAAAGCATATTTATATAAGTTATAGGCAAATAACATTTAAAATAAATTGTCGATGAATAACTTTCAATAAATGGGTGCTTTAAACATTTTTTGACGTCTATACTCATTTTAAAAATAATCCTCAATAAAAGAGCGAAAATTTTTTCAGAATAGCAAAATATAATAACTCGAAACCCTTTTTGAAATAAGTTTTTAAAATTATTGAACAGACCATATACAATTTTGAACACCTATTTTAAAAAAAAAGTCGAAAAACTGGCGAATATATAGACAACGGAATGTTGTTTTTTTTATCTAGATGGCTCCCATAAATGCACTCACCGCTTACATCGAAAAAATCGAATCAGCAGATGTCGTCTATGTAGTTTCAGGGGTATGAGCATGGTACAATAAAAAGGTAAGGTAGAGCTAACAGCTGATTACAATTTTTTTCTGCCAATTATTTTGAAAAATGAAAAAAAAAAATATTTTCAAAACCAATGATTGGAAGACACATGAATTGCGGCTCGTGCATTAAAGCTATTCAACTTGTTGCATTGATTTTGAATAAATAATTTAAAACCGCGAAAACTGAATGAAAGGTCAAAATTTCTTTTCAAAATCATGCTCTATATATTCCTTATGGTTTATTTCGCGACAAAAACTGTAGACGTTGCAATAAGCATTTTGAAAACACCCGAATTTGAATATTTTCTGAACAATTTTTTTATTATTTAAAAGAAGACCAAAGATCACTTAAACAAATGAAGTTGACATATTAAGCCAGAAAAATAAAAAAATTAAAATCATATGGTAGTTCTGCTCTACCTTGAATTCATTGTACCATGGGTATGAGTAAAAATATTAGAGTCACTCAAATCTAAAATGTTAAAAATATTAAGCGCTGTAAGAGATTATGAACTATACATTATGCATTGGAATAGAGAAACTATCCCCTACATGACAATTGAAATTGTTGAAAATTTAATTAATTATTTCTGGAAGCCTAGTGAGTCGTCCATGCCGGAGCGACATCTATTAGCAACCTATGTTAATCTATGCCGTAACGTACGTCTTGCTATGTAATAAACATTTTCACTTCTAGATATATTCTGATAAAAATGTCGAATATTCCCTAGAAACTAATTCCGAAAGTGGCAACAATTTCAAAGTTACCCATTCCGTAGTGATTGCCCTAAATTCCTTCATTCCACCGTCAATCACAACATATCTCGTTTTTTGCTTTCTACACATTCGTAAACAAAACAGTATCATTCGCGAGGGAAACAGAGACTTGTGCCCAGCAAATTTGTCGGCGGTTTTGACATTTTAAAGGCGGATCGATCGGAGCCGGTCTCTGGAGGCAAATGGATGAAAAATCCGGAAAACTCAACAAAGAATCGCCTAAAAGCGACGACGATGAAAAGCCCAGCTGTAGTAAGAAGGAAGAGCAACAAAGACAGGAGGATGAAGATTTGGCCAACATTGTAACGGCCGAGGAATATTTGATGCGCAAGGATGTGATTCTTTTGGATTACGAGAAGCAAATGTTCCTGGATATGGTCCATGCCGATGCACTGATGGTGTGTGCCAAGTAAGTCTAATGAGTTAGGCATCAACTGGGCATAATTGGCAGTGCTTTATTTTTGCAGGGGCTTATCATATGAACGGGTTTTGCTAAATATTCTCAAGGCCTACAGCGATGCCGGTAACTTGATCCTGGTCATCAACAGTTCTGATTGGGAAGAGGAATATTACAAGAGTAGATTGGAAAAGAAGTATATACATGAGGTTGCGAATACAGCAACAGAGAGGTATGCTCCTGTCGTGTTTTCTTCCTTTTTAGAAGTTGTACTTAGAACTCCCCAATTTTGTTATTTCAGGGAACGTGTTTATCTGGAAGGAGGCATTCAATTCATCACAACTCGCATACTGGTAGTTGATCTTTTGAAACAACGAATCCCTGTCGAACTTATAACGGGAATTGTAGTACTTAGGGCTCACACCATTATTGAATCGTGCCAAGAATCATTTGCTCTCCGCCTGTACCGACAGAGAAATAAAACCGGCTTCATCAAAGCCTTCTCATCCAGTGCTGAAGCCTTCACCATTGGCTTTGGCCATATTGAGCGCATAATGCGTAACCTTTTTGTAAAGGAGCTTTTCATATGGCCACGTTTCCATGCCTTGGTGCAGGCTTCGCTAAAACCATATGAGGCACAGACAATAGAATTACATGTACCCTTGACCGAGAAGATGAAGTTGATGCAAACCCATATATTGGACATCATGAATTACTTGGTGAAGGAAATTAAACGCATCAATCGTACTGTGGATATGGAGGAAATTACAGTGGAGAATTGTGTAACCAAAAAGTTCCACAAGATTCTGCAGGCCCAATTGGATTGTATATGGCATCAGCTTAACTCTCAAACTAAGTTAATTGTGGCGGACTTGAAAATTCTAAGGAGTCTCATGATGTGGGTAACTATTACTGGAAAATAGACACATGGCATATGAGAATTCTTTTTAATATTTTAGTTCCACCATGTACAACGATTCCGTAAGTTGTTATGCTCTCATAAAACGCTACAGAACTAAAGAGTATGCCTTAAGTAATTCTGGTTGGACTTTGCTCGACTCTGCCGAACAAATTTTCACACTGTCCAAGGATAGAGTGTACAACGGTCAAGGTGGTAAGTGTGTTACATACATATGTCTCACAAAATATGTATTTTAAAGGGTTTATTTTTCAAGAATTTGATCCTGAACATTGCCCCAAATGGAAATTTTTAAGCGAGATTCTAAAAGTCGAAATTCCCGCTGACATGAAACGCACCAAACCTAATAGCTATGATCCTCCCAAAGTACTTATTCTCTGTCAGGATTCACGTACTTGTTATCAGCTTAAGCAGTACTTGACGCAAAGTGGCGAACGTTATCTTCTGTACACGGCCATGAGAGAACAAATTCCAGTAGGTAAACTGAGCAATGTATTTGACAAAATTCAAGCTGGGAAAGAACTAGAAATGTCAGTGGCACAAGAAAGTCAGCCGACCCAAAGAAAGTTCATAAAGTCAGAGGCAAAAGATTTGTCGGAGGATGGTGATGCGACGACAAACTCTTCGCAATTGGATGAGTTGTCTCAGCTGTTGACTCAGAACGACATGGAGGATCACTTACAATACTATCAGGAAAGCTATATGCTGACAATGACTCAACCACAGTTTGACGAGTCAGATCTGACGCTAATGAATGACAGCGGCACCGGGGCGGAGGATAATGTTGACAACTCGATATTTGAACCTTTTCCCGAAATGGAGAATTTAGATATTACAGCCGCCGTGGCAGCTCAAAAGCAACCGTTAATTTGCTTGCAAACATTCAAAACAGAAAGAGAAGGATCCACGGTATTGGATCGTGTGCTGGAAGAGATAAATCCACAATATGTCATTATGTATCACTGCAACGTAACCGCGATTCGACAATTGGAAATATATGAGACACGTCAACGGCGACCAGCCAAGGAGAGATTGAAAGTATTCTTCTTGATACATGCTCGCACAGTGGAAGAGCAGGCATACCTAACAAGTCTGAGAAGGGAAAAGCAGGCATTTGAGTATATTATTGAGACGAAAAGTGTAAGTAGCTACCTTCTTAGGGTAACAATGAAGCTTCTAATGCATTTGTATGCTTATAGAAAATGGTCATTCCCGAATACCAAGATGGCAAAAGTGATGAAGCTTTCAATCTATACAAGGCATATAAACATCCTGAGGACAGTATTGAGACAGCCAATGCTCAAAGCCGAAAAGCTGGCGGTCAAGTTTGTAAACAGGCGGAGGAAGAGCCAAACCCAAAAGTTATCGTAGATATGAGAGAGTTTCGATCGGATCTGCCATGTTTAATACACAAAAGGGGCATAGAAGTGTTGCCGGTGACAATAACGGTAACGCTAAGGGCGAATACATTTTAGAGTAAAAATCGAGTTATTTATATTTACCTCTTTTAGATTGGTGATTATATTTTGACTCCAGAAATTTGTGTAGAACGTAAATCTATATCGGATTTGATTGGTTCCCTCAACTCTGGTCGCTTATACAATCAGTGCATACAAATGCAACGTTATTATGCCAAACCCATACTTCTAATCGAATTCGATCAGAACAAACCATTCCACCTGCAGGGTAAATATATGATTTCGCAAAATACCGCAACCACCAATGCCGATATAATGCAAAAATTACAACTACTTACGTTGCATTTTCCGAAATTGCGGCTCATTTGGTCACCAAGTCCGTATGCCACAGCCCAATTGTTTGAGGAACTAAAATTGGGTAAACCTGAGCCAGATCCCAAACATGCTGCTGCCTTGGGTGCCGATGATACTGGCGCCTATGATGATTTGAAATTTAATGCGAATATTTATGATTTTCTGTTAAAGTTACCTGGTGTCAATACGAAAAATGTCCACAAATTGATGCGTCATGGAGGCTGTCTCAAGGAACTGTTAAAGAAATCTCAGGTGGGAATGAATTTATAGATTAAGTGGTTTTGTTATAAATATATGAATATGTGTTCTTTTTTAGGTTGAAATTAGCCAACTTTTGGATTCGGAAGAAAATGGAAAATTGTTGTGGGACATCTTGCACGTGGCACATTTGCCGGAAAAAGATGAAGTATCGGGATCTTCAGCGTTACTGGCCTCAAGCAAACAAATGGGAACACATTCACGTTTTCGACGTGGTGCTGCAGCCAATGTGGGCAGTCGTGGTGGTTCCCTGCGAAAATTTAAAAACTAAAGGTTGTGAATTTTTTGTTTTTAAGTTATATTTATTGAAGTTTAATTTATTAATATTTATTTCCGATTTTTTTTTAATTAAAGGCTTAAGATGATGTAATGAATTGTATGAAATAAGAAATAATATATTTGCAACAAATGAAATAAACGAAAAATAAGCAAATGCATGCTGCTATGGAAATTGGAGTTAGACAGCAAGAGGTAATTGAAGGATATTTCAATCATGTATAAGAAAATCTACCCAAGAAGTAATTTTGTATGCAAATACTTGAAATTTAGATTATAACTAAAAAGGGAATTCAGGGAAAATTCTTGAAGATTTTTTATTTGAGATTAATATTAACATTTTAATCACGAGACTATTTCGCTATATATAGTTACTGTGAGTTAAGAAATCTTCAAGTCATTTCCCCCCCTTATAATCTTCTGATAAACTCAAAGCAAAAAATTGATTTTATCTCACCAAATATAACCCCTGTCAAGTAAGGAGAACATTAGTCATTGCCTTTAACGATATACAAACACATTCATCATTTTGCATACGCCAATTACTTCGGGAAGATTTTCTTTAAAATACCAAAATGTAAGCAATTTAATTGCATATTTGCAATATTTTGAATGTGTTTTATTTATGTGTGCCCCCATTTGTATATGTGTATGTTAGTTTTTGTCATTTAACACTAATCAAGTGTGACGAAGTTACAAAGTACACATTTACACATATGAATGACAGAATCTTTCATTATTGTTGTGTGGTAAATCGTAATTAATTACATTCTTCAATTCAAACACACACAGTGATCAAAATAAGGCTATTTAAATTTTTGAGAGTTATTTACTTGTAAGGTTTTCTGTAGCCAAACTCGCTTGACATAATAGAAGAACTAATAAAAGGACTCTGCAGATTTAACATTGATTGGGTTTCATTGAAAGGGAATTCTGCATGAATAAACCAAACGGACTTCTGTTGCCATAAGAAATTCAAAAGGGACTTGTATGTAAAGCAGATTTAATTAGCTTTCTGCTGATGCAAAATCTTCTAGATTGACATATGACTACAAATAGAAGTTCCATTTCGATTTCGAAGCACTGTGTCAACATGTGGGTTTAAATTTATGTATATTTATAACTAATGAGTTCAACAGTATGGTTTTTATATACAAATTCCTTGTGAAATACTTGTATGCCCTTTTGGAATTTTCTAAATATTTTAGCTATGTATTTCTCGTTAGCAGTTACGAAGCTATTTAAATTTTAATTAAAGTGTAAATAGTTAAGGAAATATCAGTTTGTGCAAAAAAAATATTAGCTATACTCATGCAATGGAATCTTGGCATGCAATAATGTAAATTAAACACTTTGAAATGTGCAGGACCATGCACCCCTCATCGCTCAATGCAAGCATTTAAGACACACTTGAACAGCATCCATTAAAAGTTCTTTGTTTGAGGTTTATTGTCGTGTCATTGTCAGTAGCATTGAGAGGAAAGGTTTCTGTTGCTTCCTTTGGCAGTCGGTTGTATAATTGAATTAATTATGCTTGAGTTTGTCGGACAGAGTGAGAGTTCGATTGTGTACGTCAGGATTCCGTTGTCCATTGCTACGTGTAATTTGATTAATTAACGCCTAAATGTATGCAGACAGTTTTACCCAAACACAAATTGTGATTTTACTTTCCGTATTCCCGTGCTTCGCAATGGCATCGATGGATGTGAGAGTTAGTTGTTGATTTCCTTCCTTCCACATAGCTGCAATGATGATTTTTATTTTCAGTCCAAGCATTTTCTTTCTGTTTCCTCTTTTTTTGTGTTTCTGTTTTGGTATTTATTGTGGTTGAAATCTAACAATTCCTGTATCCATTGGCAACAGCTTTGAAACACTGCTGTTTAACAACATCCACTTAGTGATGGACACTTTGATAATGCCATCATCGTGTCCCTTCACTCTGTCGGCTTGTGTCTATTTTGCCTTTGGCGGGTTTTCGCGCTTTGTTTACAAAAATAATGAATGGCGTGGGAATCACTGTGGTGCATAGTAAAATAGATAGATTTCAATGGATTTCTATAGGATTTTTGTGTTGTTGCTTTTGTGGGGTAGTGATTTGTTTCGAGTGCGTGTATAAACCACTGCAATTTTTTGCTTGAATTTACATAAAATGTTTTGCATTCGTTTGAGATGCGGTGCCAGGATTATGACAAAAGCTTAGTGAAAGATCAAAAAGGAGATCAATGGTTGTTAGGGAAACAAAAGCAGTAATGCTTTGAGGATAGTTGAAAAATACTTAACTTGGATGCAAGTATTTGGCTAAGTTGCAAATTATCTCTTAGAGGCAAATATACTCAGTTAATTAAAAGCGAAAACTTTTGTTGGGGTCAAGAAGGCCAAATGGATTCCCTTTTTACAAAACAAACCTATCTAATCAAATTCCCTGTATTTTTGTTGTATCCCAGTTTAAGTCCATATAACTGACGTGAATCGAGTTTGTTTTTAAAATTTTTAATTCAAATCATTCTTAAAAGATTAATGCTTTAATGTTTTTCTTTTATAAAGCCCAAATAGTTGTTCGCTGATAATCCAATACTCGCCTTCTAATCCTCTGGTCTTAGAACAATTTTTAACTTTTTCTCTAAATGTTCTATTTGAAAACATTTTTTTATATAAATGCCAGTTTTTATTTCACTTGTTCAAATCCTTTACCATGACATGTCTCACTTTCACTCCATGTCCACAATGGGATGGGTAACAATTTTTGCATTGGTGTCCATCTTCATTTGCATGGACATTCACTTTCCATTAGTGAGTTCTTTTTTATGTTTCCGACAATTCTTTCTTTCTTTTTTTCCTTTTCACTTGTTTTGACATCAACCGCAAACGATGGTAGCTGCTATTAAAATGACATTTGAGTTCTTTTAATTGGATGTTTAATCAAAGATTTAGATGGATGATGGTGATGCCATATCAGGAGAGACAAACGAAATTCAAAATTGAATTTTAGTTTTGTAATTAATTTAATTTTAGTTGGCACGTAATACCATAATGGCATAAATGTGTTTTGGAAACCAGAGAAGATTTCCTAAGAAATTTAAAGCATTTTTATCTAAATTTCAATTCGTATGACCTGATTTTTTCCCATTTCCTCAGGAGTTTTCTGTTTAACTGTAGCTAAGGTTATATAAAAGTGATAATTGTATCTTTTACTTGTTTAAATTGTAATGTTATGTGTGTAGGTTCCAAAACTAACAACCATGAAAAAGTTTTCCTTTACCCGATTCGTCCTCGCCAATGTCTAACATATGCAGTTGCCATTGAAGTGCCCCGCAACTTTTGTTGGAAGTACTTTTTCACGTGTCTCATTGTTTTTGCCTTTTTTTTAACAAAATTATACAAATTCCTTATGGTCTTTACTTGGTCCAAAACAGCCTTTTGGTATTCATGCAGTTTTAGGTTTGCTGTAGCTTGTGTTTGATGGTATAACTCGCCGCCTTGGCTAGATGCGCGTGTCATGTGTGGTGCCTCCATGAAGCCTGCCTGCCTGTCTGCCCGTCTTCAGCTGTACGGCAGCATGCATGTGAAAGCTAAAAGAGGAAATAATTCAATTTGTTTTAAAACTTTCCTAAAAGTATGCTAAGGTATGTTTAAAGAATGCAAATTAGCTAATTAAATATGGAGAAATTGAAACATTAAAAATATGAGGAAGGAAGCGGGGAAATATTACTAAATTTCAAGGGGAAATATTGCTAAATTTTAATAAATTTAAAAATTAAATTAAATAAATTGAAATATTAAATTAAACAAATTGAAAAATTAAATTAAATAAATTTTAAAATTAAATTAAATAAATTTAAAAATTACATTAAATAAATTTAAAAATTAAGTTAATTAATTTTAAAATTTCAATTAAGGAAATTTAATGGATATGTGCCAATATTTATTTTTAGGGTGAGAAACAAAAAAATTGAAAGGGGAAATATTGCTTAAATTGTAATAGCCCATTACATTTTTTGTCGGGACAAGTTTTTTTCAGTTTTTATTTGATTAATCGAAATTTGGGTCTATTAGATGTTATATATCCATTGAAATGTAAACGGCCGGAGAGCTACGAGTTTCATTATATTTAGTTACATTAGCGTTAAAATTTCTTTTGAATTCATTGCCTATCTGTAGGCGTTTTTTAAAATTAAAAACAAACCTTATTTCCCTTGATTATTTTGATAAATACATAACTTTACCGCTTAAAGGCAAAATGCAATTTATGTCACAAACAATCATCAACTTCTCTGATCTCTATTACCCTCAAAGTCATTTGGCTTTATAGGAATATCAAATCAACACACATTACAACCTAAACGAAAAGACATTTGAAATAGAGATAGACAAGTAAGAACCAAAGAGGCAAAAAGAAAACAAAACAAATATTGCAAACTTATCGATGTCATTTTCTGTTTTGCTCCACAAGCGGTTACGATTATCACACTTTTACTCATTACCACGCTGTAATAAATGCTATCTGAAAGTGTCATCTTAAATGGTTCAAAAGACGACAATTGCGTGGAATATAAGAATGTAAACAAAACCCACACACTGGGTGGGTGGGTGGGTGTGTGGCACCAACAACCACCTATAGGAATAAGGAAATACACGTTTTTTCTATACTGAATTTAGTTCAAGGAAATGTTAAGGAAGGAAAATAACAATTGTGTCTTCGCAAAGCAAAAGTGCCTAAAAGTAGACAATTTTATCTCGGAGACAGAGAGTCTAAAGCCATTAACTTTAATGAGTAGGGAAATGTATTAAAGTTAACATCATTTACATGAGCAATGGAGTCAGAAAAGTTTTGTAAAATATTCAAGTTAGTAAGTCGATTTTAAGAGACAAAATAGAGAGCCGTAATCGATTGTGGAACGGAAATGTAGGAGAAGTTGTAGTATACTTGGAAAGAATGATAAAAGATAAAAAAGATGGACAAATTCTGTGACTCAATCCATATATTCTCTTAAGGTTTTCACGTTATGCTAGAGTCATATGTTAAGTGAAAGAACAACTTCGATATTTAACATACAGGGTGGGATGTAAAAACTGCCACCAACTTTAGACTGTTGTCATTTCTAAGCCACTCGTCCGACCGCTGTTAAAATTATTCCAGTGAGAGCTCATTGTTTACAACCGTACAAAAGCATTTTGGTGGGAATTTTCCAGAAAAAAAGTTATTCGTGATGGAATTCAAGCGTGA